GTGGTCACTATCTTTTGCCACTTCGTTGTCCAGTCTCGAGTCGGCATGTTCCCTTGAGAGCATGTGTACACCTCATTCATGGCCGCCTTTACGATGTTGCGGACCATGAACCGGGTGAACCATAGCTGCTCGAACTCCTTCCATGAATGTGCGTGTGGAGTTCGGCGATAGTGCACTTGTGTGTAGCCGCTAGGTGGTTCATCCATCCCTGCGCTCCTCCAATCAGCTGCAGATATAGTGCCTTCAACATGTCGTCTTCCGGGACCATGCGGCATGATGCTTCCGTGAGGAAACGTTGCCACCATGACAAGGCGTTTGACTTGTTGTAATCATCGAACTTGCTGATGTCGAAGTGCGGCATCTTGAACGTCTTTGTAGCGGCTTCCGGTCTGTCTGTAGCTTGGTGAGGTCCGTCTTGATGGCGGCCACCGTGCTGCTGATCGAGTCTGGTCCAGTGAACGTACTTATGTCGCCGATGATGGTGACGACGTGATCGATGCGCTCGTTGAGTTGCTTCGTCACGTCTGTCGTGCAGCCTGGCGCTGCTGAGGCGTTAGCCTCTATGCTGTTGACGCGTGTGACAGTGGAATTCAACAGTTCATGCTGTTGCTGCTGCTGCATTGCCTCTGTGCGGATAGCAGTGGTTAACGTAGTCATATCATTCTTGTATGTTTGTCGCTGCACCACGTCTGCGCGCAGATGTGACTGCAGCAGTGTATTATTCCACATAATACCTCTCATCATGCCCAGCAGCAAGTTAGCCAGGTTACTTCTCTCTGCCTCCGCCGGTGTCGGGTCTGCCTGCGCTTCTGTAGGCACAAAGATCATGTCTTGGAATATCGTCGTCCACTGATGCTCACAAACAATCAAGGACTCCGTGCTGCTGGCATTCCGTCTGTCTCGTGTCGCTGCGTCAGTCTCAGTCGTTCGCTGAGCTTCGGCTGCCGCTTCATTGGCTAGCCGCTGACGTTCTGCCTCTGCTGTCTCCTTCCGGGCCTCGACGGCAGCTACGGCTTCTAAAAATGCCAGTAGCCGCCCACGATAATCAGCCGCKGGCTCATTGGCTCCTCGGACTGGGTATGCGGGATGATCTCCGGTGGCGTCTTGTATCGTTAATGCCGTACTTGATGCTGCTGGAGTCGTCCGTCTGCTGAGTTTCTTCGGTCTTGGAGGTACTGCAGGGCGGGCACGAACTGCGATTCTGGCACTGCGTCGTGGCAGTGCCCCGGTGTCCTGTTCCGTCGACATCAGTCTGAACTGATGCGGTACTTGAGAAGTTCCGGTAATCACAGAACACGGCGGGGTAGGGAGTGTGGGAACAGGGGTAGAACAATCAAGCAATATACATCCAATCCCCTGTCCCACTGATGGACTGTAGACACCTAATCAAACGGAAAAAATAATTTTCCCGTAAACCCTTCGAAAAATTCGTAATAAGGAATTTATAACGATTTAATCAATAAAATTAATTAATGATAATTAACGAAAATAAATCCGAATGATAATCAGTAAACAATGTTTGTAAATAAAGATAACCAATTAATAACGAATTTGAAAGGTATTATGATTAGGTCTCTTTGAGATCAATATGAGACCGGAAGTTTACCGTTTTAATAAGTGGACTGCCCGGTATTTGCAATTTAAGATCAGATACGGCTTAGTGTGCTAAAAAAAAATTCGGAAAATTTCAGAAGAAAAACGCTTGAATTTTCAAAAATGCGAATTTTCGAGACTTCCCACCGTCAAAATCCGATTTTAAAAAGCCTAAACCTATTTTCGGAATTTCTCAAACAAGGAGAACGAAAAAAAAAATTCGCGAAAATTTCGGTCCCAACCCTAATTTCCGTGTTTCGGCGAAATTTCCGGAATTTACAGTCCCAAAACGTTCGGATTTCCCCAAGTTGATCTAAAACCAAAAGGTTTTCATAACCGTAATTCCCATACTGAAAGACAACGGAAATCTCAACAGAAAAACGAAATATAGGATTTACAACAGAATGCCGAAAACGGAATGCTGAATGAATATCAGAAAAACCCGAATTTCAAACATGATACTGATTCAACCCTAATTACGAATACCTACCCAGAAATCCGAATCAAACAGAATGTTGGATTAGTATCAATGTCTCGGATGTCATTAAACAGCATACCGTGTATAACAGAAATCCGAATTTTTAAAGTCCGAATACTGAAAGGAAACGGAATTGCCGAAATAGCGAGAATACCGAAATTTTTTTTTGCAACTTTGAACTTGATAATACTTCAGCGCCGATTTAGAAGATCAAACGTGATAACCTAATTCTAAATGGTCTTAACTGGTGAGCAGATCCGTTTTGGTCTGCTCCGATACCAAAACTGTTACATACTTCAATGAGTATGGGCAGAACCAAAGATCAACCAATATAGGATGAGCATTTATGCAGCGGAAGTCTGATAACGAACTGACTCACA